GGCCCTGGGTCAGCGTGCTGTGGCCAGGTAGGTGGTTGCTGTGCGACGGGGAGCTGGGCCAGGTGAGAGGGCCATGAGCCAGATTGCAGTCAACACAGTGGGCCAGCAGGGTCAGCATGGCTGCCAGCAGGAACACAGGGCTCTGGTCATCACTGCAGCTGCAGCCAGAGCTTAGAGCTCCCTCTGGTGGTGGCAGGGGATGCAGGAAACTTGGTGCAAATCTTCTCCCTAATCCTCGCATGTGTAGACACTTGCCTAAAAGGGTTTACACCAGAGTAAATTTAGGCCATATCAAATGCATGTGTAGATGTGCCGAGTGTGTTGTTACCCTCTGGAACTCTCCATTTTAACCATGATTTGACAATGGTTAAACACTATGCACTATCAAATTATTTTTTTAAATAATTATATATGAGGGGAGGGGAGGATTTAAAATATTTGCTGTGGTGGTAGTTTTCAATTCAACCTAATTTTGACAGCTTTGGAGCACCTTGGTCAGAATTCATGGCTTATTCTACCTTAAACCTCAGAATTTAATCAAGTACTTAAGATTAAAAAGTGGTTCTGTTGTAATCCTGCAATCTCTCAAGGAATTTCAAAGGTGCCCCAAATACACTCATAAGCATATCATGGCATCTTTCCCCTAATGCCCACAATGACTGAATACATTCTCTAGGATCACTATCCAATTTGCCAGTACATGCACGTAAGCAAACCAATACCATCACAACTGGCATTAACTGGTAACCTTGTCAATAACCACAATAGGACAGAGGTTTTCAACCTTTTTTAATCAAAATCCCCTGGTGGGTGGACCCAGGGGGTGGGGTGGGGAGGGAGGAGGGCATGGGCATGGTGTGAGTCCAGATGCAGAGATGGGAGGCAGGGATGTCGTGTGGGTGGACAGGGATGGAGCACCGCCACCTCCCAGGAGCAGGGCTGGGGTGGGGCGGGATGAGGAAGCTCACTAGGCTGGGGTGAGAGTAGTAGCCCCCCATTTCAGGGAGGGGACGCTCACTGGGCTGGTGGGTGCAAACTTCCCCACCCTGCTGCCCTCGCCCCACCCCAGCCTTGCTCCTGGGAGTCAGCAGCTCTCTGTCCCTGCCTGCCCGCACGTACCCCCTAGGACCATTCCAAGTACCCCAGGGGGTATTTGTACCCCCAGGTGACAACCCCTGCAGTAGGCATGATGGGGATCATAGGCATGATGGGGTAGCTAAAATAGGTCGTTCTCTCACCAAGGTCCCACACCAGCAAATCATTTAGGAACTGCTTAACTTTCAACACACAGTTATGTACCAGTGGAATTTAAGCATATACCTGATTTTAAGAATGTGCTTAACTGAACATGGATGGATGACTTAATTAGCACCCAGGAGCAATGGTCAAAAACATTGTTGGGTTCTGGTCATGTGAGTAAGACAGGTAGCTGTCATCTCCTGGTGTCCTTATTGTATATGTGCCTGTCCTGTGTATAATCTGAGGACTATCCATCCGTAGTAGCTTTCATCAGAATGTAACAAAACATCTTGAACTGATTCACTAGGGTATGCCATGAATTTCCTTTTAGAATTTGGCAGGAAATTTCTTTCACGTTGTCTCCCCTTTGACGTCAATGAATATCACATTAGATACTCTTGTCTCAGATATAATCATGACCTTGTCTTAACAATGAAGATTAAATAATTCTGTATCTATAATGGATAATTCTTTATCTATAATGTGTCACAACAGGAATATAGTGCTCTTTTCTGTCAATTGTGTGCCAACAGACACACTTTTTTTTTCACAATTCCTCTGTGATATTCTGGCTCTGGAGACAAATAGTCACAACTTATTAAAACATAATGTGCTCTTCAGTATGGAGTCTACTTGTTCTTATGTAAAATAAAATATCTGTCCTGTGTATATAACCTTCCCCTTTGAGCCTGCAGTCACTTGATCCTGATTGACAAGCTGTTCGGATGCAGGCGGAGGCGAGTTTATGGAGTGATGCTAACACACAACATTGAAATCTCATTGCTGTTACGTATTCAGGTTTATGTATCTGTGTTTGACAAAAAGAAAATCCTGTGGAGCTGAGCTTTTTGTTTTTAATGATCTTGTGGGCATTTGTGTGGTTATTCTGCTGAGCCCTACAATAAAAAAACACTTTTAAAATGTATCAAAATCAATTGTGTTTTAATCTTTAACTCGTTGATGCCAATGGATGTCACTCCACTGAACTGAGTGAACTTTTTCTCACTCCCTTGTGGCTTGATCCTGTGTCTGCTGCAGTCAGTGGCAACACTCCTATTGACGTCAGTGGTGAAAGTTCAGGGCCTAAGTGCAAATGCTTTATATTTTCCAGTGATGTGCAGGACCTACATGCCTGTTTATTGTGCATCAGGCCCCTGATTCAACAGAACACTTAAGCACCAACTTTAATCCATCCCTTCTCGGGAGGGCACTTATGCCTGTGAGTTTAAGCCTAGGATCCTAAAAAAACATATAGAATGCTTCTCACAAGGATAAGAGCAATGGCCAAATTTTAAATTACATAAACTAACACACACATTTCTCTCTTTGCCCTTGGGTATCATTAAGACAGAGCTGGGAAGGGAATTTTTCTTATTGACAGCATATTTATCTCCTTACTCATCTCTTCAGGCAGAAAGGTTGTTTACTTGGCAATCACAGCTCTTCTCTGCAATGTTCTAGTTTCAGGGTTTTGCTGGCAGTCCATTTTACAGACACCCCCCTCCCCCCGCCTTGTAACCCACATGATTCACTGCAAGATTCTACATGGTTTCAGCTGTTTCAGATTAAGGTCTTATGCAATGCCATCCCTTGTTATGCTGCAACCCTGTTATGCAGTGTTGTTAGGTAAATGTTACTCAGAATAAAAAATAAATTGAAAAAAAAAATCAACCAGGAGTGCAGAGAAGCCAGAAACACCTGAAAGCAGCAGAAATGTGTAGAGAGTGGGTAAATCTGCAAAGAGTGGGTGCGAATGGTAGAACAGAGCCTTCTGTCCACTTCAAATAGGATAACATGGAGGAAAAGGGGCAGGAAAGTACAACCTAGTGGATGAGCAGGTGTATACTGGGTTCAGGATGATCCACTCCCAGCCTCTAAACATCACAGCTGTGACCATTGCAATGGATCTCATCATTATAACAGGAGAATTTCCCCAAATTGTTGTTCTGATCGTCCTGAAGCTATTTGCAAATCCAGGTTATATTCAAGTTGTTTGGGCTGGAAAAAGAGGGTTAGTTACAGAAATGAAGGAAATGATAGAGTCCCTTAACTTTGCCTCCACTAGCCCAGTGCTTAGGACACTCACCTACAACATGGGGAATTTAGATTAATTCAATTCCCTCCTCTGTTGGAAGAGATCTGGAACCACATTTGACACGAGTGCCCTCATTTCTTTCTGCTGTGATGTTCTACTTTGTATAAGACACTTACACTGAACACTGAGAGGGAACCAGCAGCCCCGCTTCCTAGGACAGTGCCCTCAGGCAGCACTTCTTCAGCAGAGGCATAACTAGGATTTTGGTGCCCTGGCAAGAGATGCCTGAAGGTGGGGATGTAGGGATGGTATGGGACTGTATGGTACCATACAGTCTAAACACATGGGTGGCTGCTCTTGCTGCTGCTGCAACACGGACTTCTCAGGGCTGATGTTCCCCTCGCTCAACCCTAGTTACACTACTGTTCTTCAGCTCCTTCCACTGGAGTGGTTCCATGTTGTATAACATAGTAAAAACTTTCCGAGATAGGGAGAAGGACTCTCACCTGGCAGCTGGAATATTTTATATTCTGAAATGTCATGCTCTAGCCAGGCCTGAGTCCTTCTGAGAAAGAGTCAATTTTCTGCAATCCCATTGTAACTGTGTTCATGCTCCAGGAGTGGCTGTAAAACCCCCTGGTACCCATACAACTCATACCCTGTTCCAGCTCTAGGGTCCCCTCCCCTTCTCACTCGTCTGCCATGCATTTGGTGCAATTGTATGATTGGAAGGGAGGCTGCCCAATGGGTCTGAAAATGAGCGCCAGTTCCTTTAAGTCAGCAGGTTCCTCCTGACCTTAATCCTGCTCTTAAGCTGAGCGGGCATTCTCAGCCTGTCTATACCCCAGGGCACCTGTAAGCCTTAAAGGCTAATTACATGGTCCCACCCACCCCTTACACCATGCCCATGCCTCACAGAAGTTACCAATTAATGACTTCACTGGACATTTGGCTCCAGCCAAATACCAGGCCACCAAAAGCTGCTGTAGCCCTGTCGAGGCCTCAGCCCCTTTTCTTTTGCTGGTTCCCTTAGCCTCAGCCCACTGTGTTGGGCCTGACTTCTGGGTCCCAGCCCAAATCTCACCCTCTTAGATTGTGTCCTGCTTGAGCTATAGGCCCCTGACCCCAGTCTTTGTCCCTCTAGAGCTATCTCTGCCCTGCCTTGGACACTGGGACCCCTGGCCCTTGTCCAGCTTCAGCCAAGTTAGTTAGTCTTTTCTCTCTCTCAGCTTATATCTCCCCCTCAGGTTTAAACCCCAAATCAAGGCCCTAAATGTTGGCATGGCCCTGGCAGTCTGCCATGGATTAAACCCCTAGGAACCCCTCTAGCACCCTGCTATGCCATCTGTTCACTCCCCTTTCAGCCACTCTGAAACCACTGGTTGGTAATGTAACCCAGGAGTAAGCCTTCTGGCAAATAACACTAAACCCCCCCTGGATCCAAACATAAACAATGGCTACATGCCAGCATAACAAGGCTTCCCCTTACCCCAGATAACGTTCCCCTTGTGTGGCACTAGCACTCTGTCCACCTTCCTTAAGATAGCCCCAGTGCCAGCTGGGAGAGTTCCTACATGCCCCTTGCTCTGGAGATCTTCCCTCTGCAACCTTCAGAGCCAGACTGGCCCTCCTGGTTCAGGGCCTGTGTTTATATACCTCCCTGGCCCTGCCCTCTGCTGGTCACATACCTCCCTGAGCTGCTGCAGCTGTTTCTGATTCAGTTTGCTGGCTCAGCCTCAGGGAGACTTACTGCTGCTGACTCTTGTTGTGTTCCTATGCCAGGCTCTAGTCCATGGTGCTACTCCAACTCCACTTGCTTACATCAGGTAACTACCCCCAGTACCTGTTCTCTAGCAGCCTATAATAGGCAGCGTTCCCTACTTGAGGCTGTCTCTGCTGCTCCTTTACCCTTAAAGTAAAATGAGCCTTCAGCTCTCTGTTACACCCATACATAGCCTTAAAAACAAAAGGCTGGCACAGCAAGGCCCTGGCACAGTAGATTTCCTGGTAGGCTTGTTAGACTATCCTGTGCCCAGCAGTTTGCTTTGACTCTAGTCCCTGTTCTTGCTCTCTGTTCCTCTATTCTTGGTATCTGTTTTTGGCTTGTGACCTTCAACTTATTCCTGACTAAAATTCAGCTCCAGAATCTGGTGTGAGCTGTAGCTTCCCAACTCTGGCTCCATGATCCTGACTTGTCTTGTGGTTTCCTCATCTTAGTGCCTTTTTGCTGAATACCACTTTGGCTCCTTGATCCTGGCCTTTTACTGACCCTATCTTCAATATTTGAACTCCTACCTGATGATTGGTTCAGGTACTAGCTGCAACTGTGTCCCGATTCTCAAATCTAGACTCAGCTAGATTTTGAGCCCAACCAACAGGTGTTGCAGGCCGTATCCTAGGCCTAAGAGGTTTACAGGAATTATAATAATTTTATAATGAAATGGAACAACTTTCTCAGGAAAGATTGGATATGTCCTACTATAGAATAGGGCAGGACTTACCCACAGTGCATGGAGACCCTGGAAGCATCCAGACATGCAGGGACGTACGCGTGCAGCAGCACAAGTTGCTGTAGTGCATGCCTCTGCGTGTGCACTTTGTTGTGGGATAAATTGTTTCAAGCAAAGTACTCATGCTCAGGTCCTTCCAGCTCTTCAGTCAGGGAAAGCTGGAAGCTGGGGGCAGCACCAGGGCTGGCCCCAGCAGTCTTACTTGGTAGCCTGGAACAATGGGCATGGATCGGGCAGCACAGAGGCTTGGCCAACAAGCAGAGCATTGTTTTCGGTGACCTGGCCTCTGTGTGTGCTGGTGCATGCTTGTTGTGTGTACATTGTGCCTCTTTTTGCTACTGGGAAATCCTGATAGCAAATTTTGGCCCTGTGCTGCCACATTTTAACATTCACCATGTGTGGTTTGCAGCACCACAAAGAGGTCTGTGGTGCCAGAAACAGCACATGCCTGCACATCTGGATTCACCCCCCTAGAGGATTTGAAACCAAACATCCCTCCTCCCTTTAGTAGAGTTTCCTGGCCCTCAGACCCTAGGGGAAAAAGGAGGGGTGAGTCCATTCTGTCTTTGATATTTTTGTAGCAGTAGCCCTTCACTTCCCCTAAACACCTCTAAAGTAAAAACTTTCGGCTTTGAGTTAAATGGGATGTGTTGAATAGTCAGCAGAGAATCATTTCCTTCCTGAAGAAGCAAGAGTTTTAAATACTGTTTTACAGGAGTAGGGCTGGGCTAAATGACCTTGTAAGGTCCCTTCTAGCCTTACTTTCTTATGATCCTATGAAACAAACTATTTTCTCAATTTTTCAGTTTTGCTGATGCACCAAAAATATCAATTATTCTCACTATTGTCGTTATCTCTAATTGCCTATGTGGAGGTTTGTCCAACACTTTGCTTTTGATTTAGAAAGCATCATGGCTCCGCTCATGTCTGCAAACCCTGTACTGCTTGGTTTCATGCTTTGTGCTTCAGGGAGAATGTAACCTTGTTGAAAATCCTACACTTGGTGAATAGCCTTTGTGACCTGGAAGGATACAATTCAAAGCATGAAAGCAAAGGCAAATAGATATGCATATGCAAGATGGCAGTTTCTGACTTAAGTTCCTAGAGAGAGGCTTTTACCACTGTATTTCACATGGTGCTTTTTTACTTAAAACCTGAAACAAGAAGAAACATTTTCAAAACCTCAGTGTTTATCATGACTATAATTTCCATCTAAACTTACCAGCATTTCAAATAAATTCCAGACCAAAACAATAATAAAACATTAAAAAAAAAATCATAACAAAGAGAAGAAAACAAAATAATCTTACTGACATTTCCATGAAAATTGAATGTTCTCCTTATACAAACACAGACGACTGGTTTCATTACAAAATGCCAGAGGGTCACACATCCACAAAATACCAGAGATTCTACATGTCATTCAATCTATGTGCCAGCATTTCCTCAACAAAAACTTTCTTTCTGGAAAGGGAAAAAAATGTATTAGGGCTAGATGTAACGTTAAGTGAGGAATGAGCAGGCGGGTCAATTGGAAAGGAGGTGCAACACTTTTATTAACTGAATACGTACCCAGCTCAGGAAAGCCCAAGCTTCAGAAACACATCTAGGGGCAGATTTCTGAAAGAATTAGCTCCCAGTTATATACCTAAATATAACTACTAGGCTCTCCAAGTCTCTCAGCAAGTATTGCTCTCATAGTTATATTTGTACAGTTGCTCTCAATTATACCTCCACCATAGCTCTGAAGATAGGGTGTTGGAACAGAAACCAGGAGACCTTAGATGTGTTGCAAATACTCACACTCCTTTTGATATTTTTTTTCAACGTTTGGTACTTTTTTTTTTTTAAGCCCAGCTCCTGGAGTTCTATTATTACATGATTTTCATCCAGATAAAAAAGACCTAGGCCTCATGGCAGTGGAAAAGAAAAGCTTGAACAGTTGAGCTCTCAAAATTAAAAAATCAGAAGGTAAATACAAACGTATTTTTAAATATTTTTATAAGGAACAGATTCCCATATATTTTAGGTCTATCAGATGCTCCTTTGGTGCTTGACTCATGAATTTTGAAAATGTCAGCTTAGAAGTAAAGCTTCAGTTCTTTTCCCTGCTTTGGTACTGGCCTTCCATGTAACCGTGGTCAACAAATCTCTACGGGGAGTTTCCTCATCTCTAAAAGGCAGTTAACTGTACTTAGTTTCCTCTGTAAAGACTTTTGAAATGAGAATGTGTGATAAAATACTATCCTTGCATCTCCATGTTTTTCCTTTATCTTTAGACAGTACTCAACGTTGAAAAAAAAAAAATACAAGCTGTAATAATATCTAAAAGATGTTTAAAAACTTTTTCTTATTTACTTCGTTATAAGTTATTATGGTATTACTATGCTACATATTTTCTATTCCATTTTACATATTAGCCTTGTATGTATCATGCAAGTTTTCTTACAGCCATGAACAATGCATGACTCTTTAGACCAGCATTTACCTGCAATTTCTGAAAAAACATCCTCTTGAAACTGGGTACCTCGGTACTACTAGTATCTGCAATGACTCTTAGATTTTCTGTTTCTACAATACAGGCATTGCTCTGCTGCAGGGGGTATACCTCACCCTTGTCCAGGCAGAGTTCAATTTATTTAGCAAGTATTGCTAACCTGACAAAAAAAACCCAAACAGATTACCCTAGAAGTGACAAGAGCCAAAGATAGTTATCTTTAAATAGTTTTTAACAAGGTAGGACTAGAAATCAGTCACATCTTTTTTTGATAAATATAATTTTTGCCAAAATGTTCAGCTTTGCCAAATGAAACTTTCAGCTTTGGATCAGCTGGAAAATTAAATAGATCCACCTTGGGAAATTATGTTTCATTGTAAATAAAATATTTCAGTTGACTCAGTATAAATTTATTTCTTGTCTTTTGGTCAGAGGGTTTTTTTCCCACTTCAGGCATTGAAAAGAGAAATTATTATTCACACTGTTCTAATTAGGACTATCCCTAGCAAATCCAGTTTCTTCATTGCCACTTCAAGTAATGCAAGCTAACTACAGTGCTATCCTATAATTTTCAGATGGGCCCTTATGACCATCCTCTATGACTGCCAAATGTCACTGTAAGTTGCTCTGTGAAAACTGAGCTAGTCTTTCAGAGTTTCTATCTCCCAGGCTCATGGTCTGATGTACAGACATTCTCTCCTGTTATAAAATAGGATACAATAAGACACTATTCATTTCATCAAACTGAACCTAAACTTTAAGTAATTCTAGCTTAAAAAAATAAATACATTTGGGAACTTTTACTCTTCCCAATTTCCACTCACGGTGTTGAAATATCCTATAAAAGTAGCTGGTCTTGCAATATTTATGGTACTGACCTCTGTTGAGAATTCTTGATTTCTCAGTTGATTTCTGTTCCAAATAAGTGGATAAATTATTATGATGAACATAAACTTGTGGATTTTTCTCTGAACTAAACCCAAATTCTTATCCTTTAACCATCCATTCATCACTAAGAGTCTCTTTTCTTGCTAACCAAGGCTAAGTACAGATAGTCAAAAAGCCCAAGGCTGAATGGGTTCAGTCTTTGCAGATTAGTCTAAGCTGCAAAGATTGAACCAATAAGCAAATGAACAGACAATCATCCATGAGACAGAAAATGTAGCCACATGCCTGCAGTGGCTCAAGCCAGAAGTCAGAAGGTGCACAGCTCCCTGGCATGTAGTCAGCATGACGGTTGTGTCTGCTTCCTTTTTCTGCTGCTCCCAAGGTCTCTGGGATTTGCAGCCCACAATCTGAGCAGCAGGACTCTGCCAGGTTACTCATCACTTCTTCTTCTTGCTTCCAGGTGACTCTGGGATTTGTAGGCCACAGTCATAGCCAGAACTAAGAAAGCAGGGCAGAACATCTCTGTAATCTGGGGAAGGTGAGTTTACTTCCCTTCCCCCCCGCCCCCAGCCCCAGCCCCAGCCCCAGCCCCAGCCCCAGCCCCCAGTTGGAGTGTGCCTGAGGGAGGGGGTGGGGCAGTGAGCCAGCCTCATTGCTCTGACTAGGGAGAAGAGAGGCAGGGCCAGCCTGCTCTCTGAAGCAGACAACACAGCCAAGCCCAGGGCTGAAAAGCATGCTGGGATGCTGGGAGACTGTGATTTAACTTGAACCAATAAGGGGTCTGGGACAGAAGTTTCATAAACCAGTTTGACCTAACTCAGTTAAGTCTGATACTACGTTCAGCTGGATTCATTTGAATGTGCACTGAGCTTCTGTCCTGTCACAGGTTTAAACCAGTTTCTGATCACTTATACCAGTTTATGTGCAACTTCTGTCCCTAGCTCAGGAAATTAAGGACAACATTTCAACTAAGGTCAGAACACAATAAAGAGTCTAATGAAAATGGTCATAAACTCAACGTTTGTTAGCAGCTGCCATTGTCCCATTTGTTTCATAAAAGACAGCAGTAGAATCTTCAACTATATTGAAAATCTGATCCTCTGTCTTTAAAAAAAAAGGGAAGAAAAGGAAATATGGTTAGCATTTACAGTACTTTTTATATACAGCCTGCTCTGTTCTGCATTATGGAATTTATTATGAACAAAATGTGAAGCTGTGCATTGTCTACTTCCCCCTCCAACATGCCACTATTAGTTATATGTGAGCTTCACTTTCCCAATATCTGTATTATGAATCTCTTTGAAATATCACTAGCTATATTGGCCATTCCATAATATTGTATAGAGTCAGGCAGACAGAAAGTAGATGGGTGGGCCAACATAACAGTGAGGAGACATACGAGTAATCAAAACAAGATTTGAATAGAATTTCTATTCTATTGGCATTTAGAGTGAATAAGGAAATTTTAAGCAGTACTAGACTATCCACAATCACAACATATTTCATGAATACAAAGTGTTTCTGCCAACAAAGAGAAGATTGGAGTTTACACAATGAGAATGAAGAATTGTTACAAAATTCCATTGTTCATGAATCTGAATAGTTCAAGTATATCTGTAGGGAATATCAATCTCTAATGGTATATTTGCTTGGGTTTTCCCTTCTTTCATTTTTTTGGGTGAGATTCTGGAACTGTGCAAAATGTTCTTGACAAGATTGAAAAAAAGCCCCATGTAAACACTGCATAGTTTAAAATTTGACTACAACCCATCATTTGGGTCATCTCCTCTGAGAGAAAAGATGTCCTCAAAGTTGGAAATTCCATTTGGATCATGAGATGAATCTGAAACACCCTGAAATGTGGAGGATGGAGGTTTGTCCTGCCTTTTGGTTTGAACCCTCATATTGATAGGAGCTGTGTGGGAAAGGAAGATGCATTTCTGAGGCTGTATTTCTGAATTTGTGGACATTCATGAACCTTAGTTTGGGCTCATCTTTGTTATATGTACTGGATTTTGAATGAGCCTTAGCCAACAAATGGTCTTGGATGGAAATCATAAAAAAACTTCACAGTCTCAGCTGAGTTTCAGTGTTCCTAATACAAATGAGGGCATTATTCATTCCCAAAGCAACTTATATACTTTTTCAACACTGCATTTTTGGCCTAATACAAAAACTGACATTGCACATAAAACTAAGGGGTGTAAATTAATATAAACTAAAGCCGAGAGCTGGTGATGAAATGGTTTTTATTTTAGTGGAAGCGTTCATTTTTTCATAGAAAAGATTTTTGCCTCATTTGACAATCGAACACCTAATAATATCTTCTTGCAATTACTGTCAAAATTAAGGGATGGGGCAGCTCAGTTCATGGGTAGGGGGCGGGGGGACGGGGGGAGGTTGTCCATGACAGCTTTTAGTTTTTCGAAAGGCTAATATTCCAATCTGTAAAACCAAATTGTGATCAGTCTGCAAAAAACCATAGGCAAAGATTCGCAAGAATCTCTGTGAACTGATCGAACTATGTTCCACTAAAGTATACCAAGGTACTTTAATTGACACCAGAATAGTGAATAACGTGCATTACAGTTGAGGTGCGCTGGAGGAAGAATCAAGTTTCATGTTTATTCACTATTGGATTTCAGAACACAGAAGCTTATCAAAAATTTTGGAGGGGAAAAAACAACTTTGCAAAATGCCAAGTTTTCAAAACCAAACTCTTTTTTTGGGAAATGTGCCAGTTAAAAAAAAAAAAAAAAAAAATCACTAAAAAAAAATTTCTCAGGGCCAAGACAAAATTTTGGTCCAAGGAGAACAGAGGCCTCCTGCCAGCTACGTGCCATGAAGGCTTGATGACTAGGGCACTATATTTCTCCCACATCCCAGATAACAAAGATGAACCTGCATCTTCCACATCACAGGTGAGTTCCTAACCACTGGGCTCCTCTTCAGCAGG